TTCTGAAAGAAATGAATTGTTAACTTGTTAATTAATAACTATTATATTTATAACAATGTACGTATGTGCAATTAAAATTGTAAATTGCAGTCAAAAATTTAATAAGAAGAATTGTATTGTATTGGTAAGAATGTAGCTACATGAGGGAAATTTAACTTACATTTCAAAGTACCACCACTAGCCTGTAACCAATAACTCAACTCACTTTGGCAGATTTCGACCGTAACACCCTATAGTACCATAGGTAGGCTAAAAAGATACCGAAATGGCAACAAGGCGGCTCACGCCTTCGCTTGTATTTGATTCAAGAATCTTCGGTGAAATTGTTGTAATTTTGCACTCGAACGACAATCTTCCCGTTTACCAATAGGAGGTCCGGGCCTAAGGAACCCAACCTATGGCTGTGGAGAATTAGAGATGACAAATGAGGCCAAATATCTATGTCTCACTTTGGATACGCCTATTCGGAGGAATAAGCATGTGAATCTAGCCATGGTTAATGCAACAAAAGCACTTATGGTGTGCAATCGCTTAGCTGGTAAATCCTGCAAGTCAAGAATTATCAGGATCGAAAGCATCGCAGACTTCGGTAGAATTGCAACTAATGAAACTGCAAAGACTTGCTGGTGTCTGCGTATCAGGTGCAATGCGTACGTGCTTAATGACAGTACTAGAAGTCATACTGGAACACACACAAGGCGGAATGGTGTAACTACATGCTAGACCTAGTGCTGAGAGATAGCACTTTTAAGTCTTTTAAGTGGTACACTGACAGCTCGACAACGTCGGAAGACATTGATGCAGGCATCTCAGAACCGCCCACCAAACATTCCATTCCTATGAGACGTTTTCCGAGCATTTACCGAGCAGAAATTTTTGTCATCAGTCGATGTGTAAAAAGAGAGGGTAGGGAAAAATAATGAACAATTTACAAGCATGTACCAGGCAAACTAGCTAATGGGTGGTTACAACCTTACTAGGTTCAACAGTATAATTAAGCTCCCCAGAGACTGGGTATAGCCTCTTGTGCAAACCGCCAGTTTTCGCACATGCAGCCGGAAACTCCCGAGCACATGATTCTAGACTGCACTGCAGTCCTTAGACGCAGGATCAAGGCCCTTGGATCTATACAATCGAATGGGGATTACATCGTCTCAATAGTACAAAGCTGGATTCTGGAATTTATCAAAGTGCTGGGCCGAAGTGAGTCGGTGTGACAGAGGTGAAGGCAGAATAGACCTTAGGTCACAGTGCAAGCCTCAATTTATTTCTATCTATCTATGTTTCTAGCATTTTATTTCTCATAGATTAAGTCTAAAAGAACCGTGTATTGTTGCCAACGCCTATTCTTATTGTATATTTATGTTAATATCGCTTGATTATAATAAATATTTTTGATAGATGTCTTACATTTATTCAACGACTCTAATTTACACAATGCAAACAAAACTCTACACATTTGAGTGTACAATAGTAAACGAGTAGTATCGAGGGCCGAAGCAGTCAAAGTTTCGAAAATTCACAACCTTTGAGAGAAACTAAGTTAGTAGTAGACGAGCTTTAACTGGCAGTCGAACATATGGCCACATAAATTGTGTAGGTAAAATGAAAATAAAAGTATGGTAAACAATTGAAAGGAAATAATTAAATACATACATACTTAGGTACAAATAAACTTATATGTACATATGCATGTACATAAACGTGCATATAACGAAATATATATTTTTTGTATTATAAATGTGGCTAAGCACCATACACTTCACTTTCAGATAATTTAGATACATTTTTATATTATATATTAGTTGGGAGCCAAAAGCAGTGAACACGAGCAAAGAGTGAAACTTCAAATTGACGCGAGAGGTGCAAATTGTAGTTCAGTATGTTGCAACGTACCAGGCTTTTGTTATTGTTACAACGACACAATTGGAATATTAAATAAAAACGAAAGCAAGTTTGTGGGTTAAATAAAAAAAAACAAAGCTTTTAAAATTAAGAGATCTTTTGCAACAACGTAACAAGGAAATAAGTAACGCGGTTAAACGGATCTTTTTGAATTTAAAAACATTTTGTTGGCCCCGTAGACCTCTCAACGTTTTTTATTTCTCACAAGTCCACTACAAGTATAATATTGATCTCACACAAAGCGCGCGGTTTTCATTATATGGTCAAAAGAGCTTCTTGCATGAGGTCGGTTGTATAAGTCTGATTTTTTGTGTCAGAAACCGTACAATTGTCCAATTTCTTAACATTTTGTCAAATCATAGGATTCTAGAAATATATTTGATCAATATTTTATGTTATGCACTTGAGCCTGGTGCACAAACCAGACCAGCTCATTCCTGTTTCTGACGTCAAATCTTTTCCACGTCTTCTAATTTGTGGGCAAGTTGATGCATATATATATATATATAGGTATTTCTTTTGAGTGACCTCTTATCCGATTAGATGACTGATAGATTGACCACAATTAGTGGTGTGTCTTTTGACTACGAACAGGATTACTCGAACAATAGAAAAGCTTTGAAATAGCGCGATATTGACAACCCTCTGTTTTACACGATTGCACTGATACGCTCACGTATAAAAATAAACCTGTTAATTTATTTTCAGCATCTAATTAAGCGCTGAGATTAAAAACACATAGCGTTTGAACGTGCTCAAAACATTATCGTTGTGGCAAATCATCGCAGAAGGTACATTATGGGTGTTCGCACAAAACATGAGCACAACGTTGACACAAAAAGAATTAAAGCAACTAAAAACGGTTACTTCAGCTGCACCGAAGCTAGAATACCCTTAACAAATATTAAAGATTTAGTTTGTATGGCAGCTATATGCTATAGTTGTCCGATCGGTTTTCTTCGGAGATTGTACCGTTGCCTTGGATAATAATTTATGCCGAATGTCGTGAAGATATCTCGTCAAATAAAAAAGTTTTCCATAAGACATGATTTTGATGGTGCAGTTTGTATGACAGCTGTATGTTATAGTGGGCAGATAAATGAGCAGCTTCTTGGGGAGAAAATGCTGATCATTTATATATATATTTTACAGTTTTGCCGGCTCTGGGCTATTTCGTGGCAAACTTAATATACCGGGTATAGGATATAAAGAAATCATATACTTACATATATGTATTAGTGAAAAGCATTTCTTTTTACGAGTGTTAAATAATATGACGTGTTTAGCATTTGAAACAAATTTTCTTTAATTTCTTATGGCATAACGTATAGTCACTGCAATCTGGTCATCCAGGTCAAGCTAAATCGAAATACGTCACGACCATCGACGCACAACACTTTACTAGTAACAACAAATTGTTGCACAAATTAAAGCTGGAATATCAAAAATGGAGCAACAGCATCAACTACAAGGACCAATATAACAAGCTTTATTCAGCTCAGTCGTCACAAAATTCAAAACAGCAACATATACCCGGCCTGACTATACATATGCAAATTGCATATAATGGTTAGTCACTCCCTTGTCCTTGTTTTCAGCAAACCCACCCTTGATACCGCTTTTAACCCGCACCATGAAATACTGTATAAATTTTGCAAGCAAACTGGGTCAAAACAACGTGTGCATTGTAGACGCAATTGCAGCCGTAGCGCGTCAGTCGGTTGCCCCAGTGATTCAAGGACGAATTAAGTTAAGGACGTTCATACCTAACTATTGTGTTTACTTGAATGAACTCACGCCAATGCTGGATGATTGTGTGGATGTGTATTTATGTTTGCACTTGTATGCTGTATCAGCAGTACCGTTAAAGATCTAATATATGCACATAAATAAATATATATATATATATGTTAATAACTTAACATCTGCCACATATGTTAAACCCACTCCGCCCTCCAACTTATTGAAGTTAAAAAAAAAAACTCACCTGCGGCAAAATGTAAAGGAGTCGACTTGCGTCCAGCAGTGTCTCGGGCGTTCACAGTTTGTGAGGTAATTAGTTTCTTTACCTTTGCGATATCTCCAGTTTTACATGCTTCGAAGAGCTCTCGTAACGGATCGTTGGCCATAGCCGCATCGAGGTTTACATTAAGTATTGCGCGACTGCGACTCGACATTTCGGAACTACTTACAGGTGCTTACGATTTGTTATAATTAACGCTGCTTAGCTTTTATTGGTTATGCTGGTCGCTGCAATCACAAGATAAGCAGCGACAGCCACTAAACTACTTCCCGTATATATGTATCCGATACTTCTTTGTTAGTTGCTCAAGACTTTATATCTTCACCATGGAAGTTCAGGCTTTATTTTTTTCCTTGTACCAATCAAAAATTTTCGATCACTAAGCTTACGACTCTACACACCTTTCTTATTAGCTCAAATTTCTAGACAAACACAATCCGCCACTCGACTCTTGACTTTCTTTCGTCGATCAAACTTTTTTGTGCATACTTTCCCCCAAACCAAACTGCGAAAACACTTTTCCTTTATATTTATCGATGGTAATTTCACATTTGGTAGTTTCTCATGTAAAATCAAACATTGTTCACAATAAAATCAATAAATTCGCAATTTTTCCAAATTTAAGGAAATATAATAAAAAATAAATTAACGGCACAGCAATTTATCAAACGTACATTGCTGACTTGAAAAAACCACTGCAAAAATATGAAATGGTGCACACAAGAAGATGAAAATTGGGAAATTTTATGAGCTGCCAGCTGTTGTAACAAAAATAATATTTGTGTAATATTCTGAAATTTTAATAGAGTGTGAGAGAGTAAAATAATTTAACTAGCTTATGTGAATATTGTTATAAATACGTATATTACATTTATTTGTAATATTAGTCTCAAAAAGAGCTAAAAAAAGAAGTGGTAACATTTTTAGAGGAAAGATCTACAAAAGGAAATGTGACCAAAATATGTTCACAGAGTTGCAACAAATAATTTTTACAAACTAGTTATAAAATTATTTAGGGATACGCGCTATCCAATTCTTTTAATAATTTTAATGACTAACTCGAATGTGAGAAGCTACTACAACATATTAACGAGTATAACAGTTCCATTAAATCTGATTGGTTTTAGTATGGTAAAATCTGGAGCACTAACCAATAAGTGTGGCAGCTAGTAGGCAACCCAGATCCCTTTTTGAGAGTAAACAAAATGTTGCATTGAAATGCATGATGAATGTCAAATGCAAAGAGATGTACGAGAAGGGCAAAATGGCGTTTTTTGTTGATGAGAAATTTTTGGTGAAACAAGTTTTGAGTGAAAAATTTAATATAAAAGAGATTTCGTTGTAGTTTTAATCATTATTAATAAGAACACACAATTCGAAAAATAAAGTGAAGCAAAGATAATCAGTAAAAATGTGATATTGTAATCAGAAAAGACATACATAAATAAGCAGAATTTTCATATTAAACGCCCTCATTATTATCTCTCATACTCCCCTTGAATAATCATGCAACAACAACAATAGTGCTGCTGTGATGCACAAGTAGAACTTGTCAAATGCAGTTTTTGCAGCAGATACTTACATATAATGAAAATAACAAGTGACGGGGCATAAATTTGTGACGAGAAAGGGAAACAGCCAATGTGAATTGTGAAAAGTGAAAATCGATTGAATATTATTTTTGCATAAATACATTTTTTTTCATTTCTAATCAAAAACTATCGTGATAAGAAATGCAGATATATTTTATATGTACCTACATTTGCAACAACAAATTTGTATAATGATCGCTGCAACATATGCCCATTATTGCCATAAATATGTGGTTGTAAGGCGTACATTAAAAAAGTTAGAATATTGAGAAGCATAATAAAAACGACAAACGCATTTCGCTTCAGTGGAGCGTTAAGTTGTAAACGAATAATTTGTGTTGCCCGCAGCATTACAATTATCGTTAGTGGCAACAGCAGATCATTTTACTTGCAACGAGCACGCGATTACCACAACTTTACCGCCACTCCCATAGGCATACAAATGAGTTATAAAAGATCTGTGAAGTGCATATATAAAATAGAGCTTAAATTGGGGCATTAAAATTCATTAGCACCCGACCATGGAATTGAAAGTTTGGGTGGAGGGTATTCAACGAATTGTATGTGGAGTTACTGTGAATACAACATGTCAGGTATGTAAATGAGCATATTTACTTTTGATTATAGAATGCAGGTGGTAATCGATAAATCGGTATTATTATCAAAAATTTAAATTTATTTTATTGCCTGAACAGGTTATATTAAGTTTGCCACGAATTTTGTAACACTAGAAGGAAACGTCGGAGATCCTATAGAATGTATATATAATTGATCTGTAAGACGAGCGGAGTCGATTTATCCATGCCCGTCTGTCGGTCATATATACGCGAATTAGTTCCTCAGTTTTTGAGATGTCGATCTGAAATTTTGCACACATCCTTTTTTCCTAAGAAGTTGCTCATTTGTCAGAACTTATGACATTGGGTCACTGTAGCATATTGCTACCATAAAAACTGATCGATCAATATGCAATACTTCTTTGTAAAACTTTTTTATTTGACCAGAGTCCAAAGCAACGGGACAATAAACCGTCCCAAATTTCTAGAACATATCTGGTCAAATAACACAAATTCACTTTGTTGAATTGTTCAGATCGGACCACTATAGCATAAATATACCATACAAAATAAAGATAAAGATCTTTTTATACCCTTTTATGCTGTAAGAAATGCACCTGTGAAGGGTACTACAGCTTCGGTGCAGACGAAGTAAACGTTTTTTTTCTTTCTTTTTTTAATTTTTCTATATTATTTCTTTTCTTCTCATTCTATGCTAGGATGTGGTATTTGCGCTGGCGCATGCCACTGGGAAAGTAGGCCGCTTTACGCTCATTGAACGTTGGCGCAACAATGAGCGCTTGCTGGCGCCAAACGAAAATCCGCTTAAATTATTACTGGAATGGGGTGAATATGCCAATGATGTGCAATTTATACTGCAACGTTCGGAAAATAAGCAACAACAGTCAACAACGCAACGTGTAGATAATTCTGTAGCCAATAACAATAACACTAATAATGCAGCTGTGATGTTGAGAAAGCCTTTAGGCTTAAGCAATAACAATAGCAATAGTCATAGTAATATTAATAACAACAACAACAACAACACCACCAACAATACGAATCGTAACTACAATCCACATCAAGCAAAGTCACCACACTTGAACAACCTGGATACAAATTTAAATATATCGCCACACCTTGAAAAACCACGTGAATTGAAGAAAAAGAGTTTTGGGTAAGTGTCGTTGTAAACAGATTTCTATGCAATTGTTTAATATACTTTTTTCTTACAGTGCTCACGATGCAAAACATATTGAAAATATTGGTATTGTCAAAGGTATACCACAACGTCACAATAACAATAATAACATCAATAATAATATTAATTTACATAAACAACAACGAAGTGTGCCGGTACAAAATTCTTCACCAACAAACTCAAATTCGCCACAACTCGCAGCTATTTCACGTTCACATACTACATCAACTGACAATAATAACTCGTCAGCCTTACCTCAGCTCATCCCGCGCCACGAAAAATCTCATTCAAATCCCACTGAAATGCCACGAACCCACAGTCATGCTTTTACCGATGGTGTTGGGATTTTTCATGATTCGCAGCAAAGAAACAATGACGGTAACAACAATAACAACAGCAACAATATATATCAACAAATCGGTGCTCAGAACAGCAAGTCAATCAATGAAATTAATTTGGCTGTTGTGCGTGAGTCGCTGGATCGTCGCATAGCCACCAACAGTCCGGACGTGTTGTATGCCACACCACATAGCAACAACTTCAAAAACAACAATAGTAGTAATAGTTGCAGCAGTAGTAGTAGTGAAAATCTACTTGACATCTACAATGGCAATGTGAATCGTAGCGGTGGTGATATGCCACCGGATTTGCTATACAAAAATGCGCCAACAATTTCGTCAAATGGGGCATTAGTGCCACCACCTTATCGCGATCCACCACCACCGCGCAATAGCCCGTTACAATTGCAGCAGCAACAGCAACAACAATTTTTAACGAGTGGTATGAGCAATGCAGCTGTGAACCCTTTAACGCATGATTACAACAATGTAGGCGATTATGATGTGGACTTTCAGCGCTTAGCTGAAGGTGGCACCGGTAGTGGTGGTGGAGGTGGTGGTGGTAGCAATGGCAGTGTGGGTAGTATTGAGGAGAGCGAAAGCATTTTTCAGGCGACCCAGTATAGTGATTTAATGCAGTTGATCAAATTTCAACGCGAAAAAATATCTGCGCAACAACTGGAATTGAGTAAAGTAAGTTAAATTTTGGTTAACTTCATTGCTAAAATCATTTAAAAAATTATTTTATTTTTTTAAAATGTCAGTATGATGCCGAAATAGTTTATTTGGAAAATAAAGAACGCGATCAAGCGCAAGAACTTGAAGCGATTTCACGCGAAATCACCAAAGCAGATCAGATATTTCGTCAGGGCAGTGAGCAGGTGAGTATGTTGTAATACATGATTATAGTGCATAAAATGATAGTAAAAATGTACATTGATTTAGTAGTAGAGTTTGGAATAAATTTTATATAAAAATGTATAAAAAATTCGATTTTCGAGTTTTTGGGTCCAAAAAATAAATTTTCAAATTTGGAATTTGGAATTAAAGTTTAAATCCCACAATTAGGATCGGATAAAGTATAAGTCGTTCGAATGTGAAAGGTTATCGGCAGCGACTCTAGAGTATGGAATATGATGGCTCTGTTCGAACTTTAGTTCAAAATGGTAGAACACAAACTACGCAAGCGCGAAAAAAAATTCAAAAACATGTACTTTTTAAATTTTTATTATAAACTTAGATTATATTAGATTTTTGTTTTTAATATTTGAATCCGTTATTTGGGTTAAACATTTCTTTTTAAATATTTCAATCCGAATTAGAAATTTAAAAATTTTTTTAAAATAAAATTCTCAGAACTAAAAAAAATCAATTTACATTTTAATTCAATTAGTTTGTTTTGTGAATTATTTTCAACACTGCTAACGAATATATTAAAAATATATCAATTAATTAATAACATTTACAGTTGCAAACACTTCAGTATGTAGAGGAAGAAAATGAGCTGGTGAAACAACAGGAGAAAACATTGAAATCCGAGATTGCTTTATTGCGTTCAAAATTGGCCAATTGTGAAACTGAATTGCTACAGTGCAAAAATAAAATACGTCTGTTGATGAACGATATTGAGGTGGAGCAACGCAGCAATGCCACTAAACAGAAAGCAAATAGGTAATTATTAAGCGCTTTTGTTATAAAAATTATTTTTTCAAAATTTTTTATATAAAATTGTTTTTTTTTATCATAATATTTTATTTTTAGACAAAATGTTGAGCGTGATTTTCTCATGGAGATGGAGCGCATACAAAGCGAAATCGATCAAGCTATACACAATACAGATACGTCTAATAAAACAGCAGAGAATTTGAAAAAAGAAATTTTATTAATTGAAAATGCGATCACAGAGAAGAAACGACAAGTGCGTTTTAATAATGGCCACTAATAGAATGTAGAAATGATATTTTTGCTTATATTTTAGGTGGAGCAATTGGTGAATGAGATGAAGGAAGTGAATCTGCAAAGTCTCACCGTTACAACATCTGATGAGATCAAACACTTTTTGGAAGGTATTTCTAATAAAAAATTGTGTTGTATTCAGGGTTGCATATAATTCATTAAAAAATGAATTAATTATTATTTGAATTAAACTATTTTGTTTATTTGTTGTCTCGAAAATGTTAAAAATAAATTTTATAATTTCAAATCCTAAAATACCGGATTGCAAAGCAAAAAAAATGTATCCCAAAAATCGGGAGAAAAAACATGGTAATCTCAAGTTTACAATTAAACATTAACAAAAACAAAAGAGAATTTGTTTTAGAATTTAAATTTTTTCTCATACATTTTATTTCTTATTCTTAATAAAATATCAATATATGTAGTTTAGCGCTTTTTGTCTTATTTATATTTTATTGCTTTTAATTATAATGTTTCAGTCAAAAATATTAAAATTTAAAATTTTTTTTTAACCCTTTTCGTTAAAGCTTTTAATTTGAAAAATAATTTTTTTTATTTGTTGCTACAATTTTTAAATTCAAATAGTATTTTATCAATTTTTAATTCCGATTTTAAGTTTTAAATTTAATTTTTAAAATTGAAAAGTTAATTTTCAATCACGAAATGCTAATTATATTATATATTGAAAATCTAATTTTTAAAATTGTAAAGTTAATTTTTAGTTCCGAAATTTAAATTAACAATTTAAAATATAATTTTTAATCCAAACAAAATTTTTTAATTAAAAAATTCGCAAACCTCTTTGTATTGCAATAAATAATGATTTGTTTATACAGGCATATAGAGTTCGTTACGAGTGCCTTTAAACTGTTATATAATTATTTATAATTATCATCCTGTGTAATAAATATATAATATAAATATTGTTATTTCACTTCATTCAAAGGTTCAAATAAACCCGGTAGCAGTCGTCGTATAATCGGCTCACCAAGACAATTGGAAAATGCAGTGCCGACCAGCAAGAATCCACATGGTGTTTGGGTATAAATATGACACAGAATATAAATATAAAACAAGAAATTTACTAATCTGCGAATATGCTCTTAAATAGAGTTTTACAAATCGAATATAATCCAGATTGACACATTTTATTAATGACTTATTATCATAAAATTCTTTGAAAACTACTAATATCAAAAATATACACGGATTGTTAAACGTTTGCATAAACTATAAATATATAAAAAAATTTTAGCAGTACTCGTCACAAAAATGAATAGGAAACATATTTCTGCATCGAATTCTACATTAACGAAAAATATACAAATTCCACATATCCTACAAGCAAAGAACAAAAAACACAAACACATTTACACTTAGCGACTTAGTTGAAATTATAATATACATTATATGATTGAAAAATGTGCTTAAACTTTTATGGTATACAAAATAGCATAAAAAGCTACTTGCAACATTTTGTTATAAGACAAATTTTGATGTTCAACAAAAGCTTACACACAAAGATCTCTACTGAAACTTTAAATGTTACAAAACTCTTATAAGTGATTTATTATTGAAAGGCGAAATTGTCACATTAAACACATACATGCATGCATATGCGCCAGGAAGTATCTGTAGAAGCTACGCATAAAAATGCATTATGCCAAGTATATAGGCAATACTTGCTATATATTAAATGCAATACATATACATTCCAATTTTACTACATCTTATATTAATTAGCTATATTTTTGTGCCTAGAAAGTCAAATGACATTTTATTGTATAATTTTAATATTTGTTTTGGTAGTTTGTAGTCACACATACATATAATTGCAGTACTAAAGACATATTAGTTTAATAAACACACTACAGAGTGCAAATTTACCACCAACAACAGTAAATTAAAACATAATAAATAAAATAAAAACACAAAAATAATGCAGAAGTATGCAAATGCATAATTTAGTGGACAAATTGTTGGTTAAAAAATGAATATGTATTAATAATTTAAAAATTCATATCATATTGCGTTACAACCGATTTGTAAACTTACAAGTGAGCGCATTGAATTTTTCATTATACGATTAAGTTAATTTTTAGTGTAGTTACTGCTTTGTGAAATCCATTTGTATAATTAGCTAATGAATTTGTATAAAATCGAAACTTTGAAAAGTAAAATTTATAAGCTTCGGCAAAGCGTGTCCGCATTAATTTGCATGTGATGCAACATTTGTTGAATGGACTTTTTAAAAGATTCCGACATTTATTAAAAAAAAAAATCAGCATTAAGCTTGAGTTGTACTTTTAAGCTCTTTCATTTGTTTCAGAAAAAAAGCATATGTATGTTAAAGTTTTTAAAGATCTTAATCTTATCAAACACCAATATATATGACTATATATATATAAGAGAAAAAAAAACAAGATATTTTATAAAAATTAATTTCTAAAGAGAACATGAATTATACCCTTCTAGAAAAATTGTTTTATGTGTGCCCACCTAAGCTTTTAAAAGAAAAATATTCTTTTACCTTTTACATACCTATGTGTGTACATATTTTTATTTTAATTTTTAGTAATTTATTTTAAAAATGTTTAATATAGGCTACTTTTTGATAATTATTTAATATTAGATATTTTGAATTTTTTATAAAATTTTATGTACATACATACCATATATCATTTTTATAATTTTATGTTTTTTATATACCATATTATATACATATACATGTATTGTACGTACATATGTGTACTATTGATATTTTTTAATTTTAATTTTATAGTTTTTATATACTTTAATACTTGGCATCTTTTTTAATTTTTCACAATTTATTTAATTTTATATCTTTTTGAATTATATTTATTTATTTTTTTATACATTTATTCTTCAAACATTGCAAATTTTTCGGTTTTTACTATACTTTTTCAAATTTTAACTTTTTCAATTTAATTTTTTACTTTTAAAATTATTTTTTCAATACCAATCAAACATTATTTTTCAATTCATATATAAAAAATACAATTATATAATATATTTCGTAAGCATATAGTTGTATGTTGAAAATTGATTGATGCTTTATCTAGTCTGTAGTCGATTTTTTATATTTTTAATTTCATATTTCAATATTTTATTCAAATTTTAATTAAAATTAAATGTTTGCCCAACACTGTATTATTTTTAATCTATTCTTAATTACGCTTAATGTATTTGTTCATCATTGCCATTAGCGAAATGTCACAATTTTAGTTCTTAACTTATAAGTTTTTTTTATAGAAAAAAGCAAAATTAACACTTTGCAAAGTTCAGCTTATTGTTAAGAAAAAAAAATATTAAATTCGTGCACACATACATATGTACTTACTTAACAGTTGCAATAATGTCGAAACGCCTTGTATATTTAAGTAGCTTTGTAGCATTTAGTCGCCTTTTAATGTAGCAATAAACGTTTCAAACAAAATACAGAAAAAATATTTATTTAAAATTACACAATTGTATGTATGTAGTTGTATTTAGTGTTTTGAAAATTACATATCCTAAAGGAAAAAGACAAAAATAAAAAATAAAAATTTCAAAGTAAAATCAAAAAAATTTTTCTTTTTTTATTTATTTTAAAATTTTTTTTATTTTGATTTTTGTTTATTTAAAATTTTATTTTTTATTTTTATTTATTTAAAATTTTATTTTTTTTTATTTAAAATTTAATTTTATTAATTTTTTTTTTTAATTTTTTTTTAACTTTTTATTTTTTATTTATTTTTTTTTAACTTTTTATTTTTTATTTATTTTTTTTAACTTTTTATTTTTTATTTATTTTTTTAACTTTTTATTTTTTATTTATTTTTTTTTTAACTTTTTATTAACTTTTTATTAAATTTTCTTACGTTAATTTTATAATTAGTTCTCATCTCATCAATTATGACATTACACGGTTGCATAGGAATACCAACCATATCAAGCACAAGATCATTTACATTTTGCATTTATCAACTTACTTCACTTACTAAACACTTACACTTAAAAAGTTTCCATTTGAATAAAATTGTCTAATATATTTTTTCTTTTATAATAAATAAAACTGTTATGCTAATAAATACTGAACATTATATAGTTATTCCAAAATTTGATTAAAATGTCTCAACACCAATACATATGCAATCAGAATAATAATAAATTAAAATGAATTTATCAAAATAATTACAATTACTTCAGCAAACACACACAATAATACAAAATGATCCTAAATAACTGCATACACACTAACGAGCAAATAAAGAACAACGATCATTTGAAAAGAACAACAAATAAAACAAAATAAAGTACTAACTATTGTAACAGTGCAAAATATCATAGATTTTAGAAAATAAATGCAAATTTGAAAAATTCTACCAAATATAATGACAATGTATTTTTTCGCTGCTCAAGATGACGAAGTAATATCATTCCCCGAACTCTTTCGTAGAATGTTGACGAGTTGACAGTCCTTAGCCATATAAGAATCTGGATGTATTCTTGTTACGTAGAATCAAATTCGTAAGAACGGTAGTTTTTTTTTGGTTTTCTTCTTGATTAGTTCCAAACAGTTGCACGCCCTTGTATCTTGGCTTCAATATTCGAAATATCAAGTGGAGCCAAATCTTCTTCACTTGCTCTCTTTAAGACAGTGAAAACCCCTCTACTGCTTTCAACTTGTATTCCGGGTTCCGGTTTAAATTTTTCCAACGTTGGAGCGTCACTAACTTGTCTAACTTTTGATCGCTGAACTATGTTGAAGCACAACTTGAAGGTTCAACTTTGGAATAGTATTTTGTGTCGTGGTCCCACTTAGGCTTAGAGGTTTGAGAGAGCAAACAGTGTTTATTTGACGTCAGAATTTATTTCGTCTTATGTATGCTCATTCGTCATTAGATCCATTCGTCTAGCATATTTATCGAATTAGAGGCGAATGTTAAGAAGGAATGTCAGAAGTCTTTATTTTACAGCTGTACTCTTGCACGACTTAAAAGCTCTAATTCGTTATGACTCATTGCAGATGGACGTTATCGGAAGGTTGCCACGCCCACAAAATGCCACTAAACGAAAACGTATAAAGGGCTATAACTAAGCTTTACGATATGATCTACAACTGTTATTTCGTACAACGAATCGCATAAGGTATAGGCAACTGTGGTTTGAAAAATTTGGCGTGGCCCCGAACCTTAATACGCTTAATATACATATCTGCCAAACCGTTAAGGTCAAATCAATCAAATTCGCTCAGGACAAATATTTTCGATATGCGACAGTGTTAAAATGGATGAAATCGAATAAAAACCACGCCCTCTCTACATGTAAAACATAAGATTTGAATGAAAGGGCTTCATAAGAGCCGGTACCAAAATTGGACAATGGGCGTGACCCATATATCAAGACATGCTCGACCAATTTTAACCAAATTTGGTACTTAGCATTATTCTGTCATGTAACGGTGTGCAAATGGTCGAAATCGGACCACAACCACGCCTCCTTCCCATATAACACAATTTTACCGTATACAAATCAAGCACCAAAGAATATATTAGAATAAAACTTTGCACAAATATGTTAATCCCTTTATAGTATGCTATCTCAAGTCTAAAAATTGTCAAACCCTATACTGAAGATGTGGACCTCAGTGCCTATGACTGACTTTTTACGGAAAGGATCAGACAACCTGTGAGGTATATTATTGAAATTCGGTTGGAATACTTTCTCCAGGTACCATGTACAAATTATAAAGATTTTCGATCTTCCTTTTGACTTTATACCGAAGAGTGTGTTTTTTTCATAAAATTGCGTGGAAACATGTTACCGAATATACTTGAGTAATGTCACAAGTTAACCTGAAGTATGTCTGAACTGACTACCTTCTCCTAACCAGGCTTGCGAATTTTTGAATTAAAAAATTTTAGATTAAAATTCCGATGTTAGGATTAAAACTTGGATTTTTATTTTTTTAATCCCGATGTTGGGATTAAAAATTGAAAATATTATTTTTCGGTTTGAATTAAGTACGCAAACGTGCATTAAAAATTAAAAATAAGTTTTTAATCCGGTTTATGAGATTGAAAATTTTTTTAATTCTGTTATTGGGATTAAAAGTTAAAAATAATTTTATAATCCTGTTTATGTTTATATTATTTGCAACTTTGCTCTTAACTCAAATACACCCGATATAATGAATTCAGACTTCTCTGCTGACTTTAAGCCGTTTATATTCGCCAGTATATGTGATATTTCAATATTTTCATAAACGTAATGTGGTTTAGCGCTGAATATGAATGAAATCAGTTTAGACCATGGTCTTACCCTAATATAATGATTTCTGTTTCGATGACCGAATTTTATCTCATATACCCTGTTCTATTGAACCGATTTATTTGACATTTTAAAAATGTCTTCTTTATAGACTTGGTTATATCTGGAACTATCTATATTCCCAAATTTCTTTAATTTAATATTAACAAAAATTCGAAACAGTCAAAAAAAAGCGGTACAAAAAATGTGTTTGGTTTTCAGGCAGTCGCCATTTCGTGAAAAAAATGTCTTCAATTTTTTTGTAGAACTTGACATTGCGACAATATTCTAGATTCTTAATTTTTTTTTGATTTCAGATTGCTAGGAGGGTTGAAATCGTGGATATAGTCACGTGCCAATTTTTTGAAACTCCCTTCATCTGTTGCTAATTTGTGATATTTTTGAAATGTTTTATTTTTTTTTATTTTTTGACTTTTTACCTGTATTCTCGTACTGTTAATAAATTATTAATAAAAACATTTATAGAAAAAATAGTAATTGCCTTTATTTTACGACACTTCAAAAATTATTTGAAATTTATGCCCTTTAATATAAATTTTTGTCTATAGCTGGAGGTGTTTTCCTATTTTTCGAGATACGATTTTTTTTCCAATATAAAGGAAAAATTTGAAAACTGAAATAGGAGCACTTTCGTATTAATATTAAGAGGTCATAATAAGAAGAATTCTTTTGAGGTGTCTTCCACTCTATTACTCAGAGCATAAAACGTAAACAATTTTTGTTTACCCACCCTAATGTATAATCATTACGAATTCCCTGAATCAACTTATTCGAACTATAACTAACCAATCTAATCTCCCAACAACAGTTTCACTTTCAAACCCCCACTACTACCGCGCAGGTATCTTAACTTTTATTGCTTGAGAAGTAATTCATCTAACACTACATAAGTTCCAATGCAGCACTTTAGAAGCATTCGTTCAAAACAATCATTTAT